ACCCACCCAGGGGAAATCGGCAGTCGCCTTTTCCTATCTCTCTCTCCCTACATCTTCGTCTTTATCTCTTACTATTTATCTGTCCTGTCTTCTACTCTCTTCCGTTTACTTCCAAACTTCCCGGCGGCTAGGGTTAACCCTGTGCAAATAGCCTACCTTGGTCTAGGCGCATTGGGTTATAGTTGCGTTGTACGGCTGGCGTTTGCAGGTTTTAGCATCCACAAACTTGTAGCGTCCCCTCGTTGGGCTCCGTGGTGGGTGGCTGCCAATGCTTCTGAAGAAAATCAAACTGGCATGCATAGAGCATTTCCCTTATTAAGTGATCGTACCGCCTTAAAGCGTGTACGCACCGAAGACTTAGGCTTTTTAAACCGATCAAGTGAAAACTTCCCCCATTTTCATGTTATACATAGTGAGATACATACATAGTGAGATGAAAACGGATTTCGACTTAACCCACACAAAAGCACTTGTGTCTTCATCTATGTTTAACCTACATATGTCTGTCCAACTCAAACATGTAGTGTTATGGAACTGTTCCCAGTCTGCTTTGTTTATCAGCCATTTGGGAACGTGTAGAGGACCTTCATATGTTGTTTGTGAACTCAACACTACAGGAAAATGGTCACTACCATATAGATTATTTATGATTTTCCATTTGAGTAGGGGTAGGAGTGAAGGTGATACGATGCTGAGGTCGATAGACGAGTAAGTTTTGTTGGCAACGTTATAGTGTATTGGCTCTTTCCTATTCAACAAACAGGCACCAGAAGAGAAGAGAAATTGTTCAATGAGACGACCTCGTGCATCACAGCGAGAATCGCCCACAGTCCACTATGTGCATTTAGGTTCCCATTTTGAAAGAGGGCAAGGACCCTTCTTTAGCTTCAAGTTATAGGCCTATTGCACTTACAAGCTGCTTGTGCAAAGTCTTCGAAAAAATGATAAACTGCCGACTTGTACATATCCTTGAAACAAACAATTTGCTCGACCCATTTCAGTGCGGGTTTCGAGAAAGTAGATCCACCACAGACCACCTTGTTCGTATCGAGGCACAGATCAGAGACGCCTTCGTCCATAAACAATATTTTCCCTCTGTGTTCCTCGATATCGAAAATGCTTATGATACAACATGGTGTTTTGGAATTCTAAGAGACCTGTCCCACCTTGGTGTGCGCGGAAGAATGTTTCACATAATCGAAAGTTACCTGTCAAACCGGACATTCCGTGTCCGTGTGGGCAGTGTTCTCTCACAAACATTTGTCCAGGAAACAGGCGTGCCACAAGGTGGTGTGCTTAGTTGCACACTTTTTATTATCAAAATGAATTCCTTGCACTTTGTCCATCCCCCGCAATATGTTCTATTGTACATATGTCGACGACGTTTAGCTTGGCTTCAAGTCGGTTCAGCTGGGTTTAAACAAGGTCTCCAAATGGGCAGATGAAAACGGATTTCGACTTAACCCACACAAAAGCACTTGTGTCTTGCTCTCTCGAAAGAGAGGCATGCACTCGGAACCTGACATTCGACTGAACGGGCAACGTCTGTCCGTCAAAGCCGAGCATAAATTCTTAGGCTTAATCTTGGACAACAAGTTGACCTTCGTACCACACATAAAGTATTTAAAAACAAAATGTTTAAAAGCCATGAATGTTATAAAAGTGTTGTCTCGTACTACTTGGGGTAGTGACAGGCAATGCCTCATGAATCTGTATCGAAGCCTCGTTCGCACCCGCTTAGATTATGGGGCCTTTGTTTATCAGTCTGCCAACTCAAAGTGCTTTGAAGATGCTGGACCCTGTGCACCATTTGGGCATCCGCTTTTCTAGGGGGCTTTTTGCACCAGCCCCGTAGAAAGCCTTTATGTTGAGTCAAATGAGTGGTCGCTCATCTGCAGAGAACTTACATGTCCTTTGTTTATTTCCTTAAGGTGAAAGCGGATAAGAAGCACCCCTCATACTCTTCTCTTAATGATTTGTCGAGCTCAATTCTGTTTCAAAACAGGCCTTCGATGAGGCAGCCCTTCTCAGTTCGCCTGAAAAGTCTAGCTGAGGAAACTGGAGTCTCACTTGAACACAGTTTAATGGCTCCTCTAGCATATCCGCCACCGTGGCAATGGCAGACTATAGACTGCGATGTGTCCTTTCTAGAAGTTACAAAACATGCGCCTATTGCCCATATTCGAACATACTTCCTGGAACTTCAACACAAATACACACGTCCTGAGTTCTTTACAGATGCCTCCAAGTCCAACTCCTCTGTGTTCTACGCTGCTGTCGGCCCATCTTTTTCGGATGCTGGCCCTCTACATCCACGCACCAGTATCTTCACAGCGGAAGCTTACGCGATACTTGTGGCAGCTAAACACATAAAACAATTACAAATACAAAAAGCAGTAATTTATACAGACTCCCTCAGTGTAGTAACGGCTCTGTACATTCTTAAAAAACACAAAAACCCAGTCCTTGTCTCACTTTACTCCATTTTATGCACACTCTACACACTCAAACAACATGTATTGTGCTGGGTGCCAGGGAACCGTGAGATCGAAGGCAACGTGAGGGCGGATCAGCTCGCTGCATCCGTCCACAAAAGCACTGCCCTTACACCCATATTAATCCCGGCCCTTGATCTTAAGCCGACTCTTAAACGAAACCTCAGGGACTACTGGCAGAGCAAGTGGGATACACACACACACAAAACAAACTACACATTATTAAGCCACACTTTGGTCATTGGCTGCCAGTATCAAAATCGCGTCATACAGAAGTAATACTAACGAGACTCAGGATAGGACACACGTACACGACACACTCATATCTTTTGTCCGGTGGCGACCCACCATTGTGTGACAGATGTTGTGAAGCACTAGCAGTTCTTCACATTTTAATTCAGTGCAAACAATTGGACACTATAAGAAAACAACACTTTCCATTACCCTACCGACAACATATACCTTTACACCCTGCAATGTTTGTCGGTAGGGAACCGCTTTTTAGTTATAAATCATTGCTAGCGTTTTTAAAAGAAATTCATAGTTTTCATATCATATACCCGGGCATTTCGTAGCACGACCTCTCCTGAGAGGTTTTCGCTGCGGTGGCTACACAAGAAAGCACTTGCCTCACGGCCCTGTATGAACGAGTGAGGCACTTGTGCTAATGCCATACATATCCACCATCGTCTTTTATTATCACCAACTTTGTTCATCTATTCGCACCACACACACCTTTCACGGCATGGTCATGATTTTATTACTTGTATGTTTTTTACCCGCCTTACCGCGAGGAATTTTATGGCCCTTATAGAGCCGCTAATCACAATCATTGTCCACATTCCTTGTCCTATGAACTGGCACACTTTGGCCATCAAATGGCCCTTGCGCCAAAAAACACCATATGTCATCATTATTAGGCATTCATGCACATCACAAAAGATGGCAATGTGCTGCCGCCCTAAGGTTTCATCGCCCAGGCTTTCAGGTGTCATTTTTTCTTCATAGAATTGGCATTTCTGATGTCGCAGGTAAGACAGATTGGGCGGCTTTTTTTAGGGCTTTCACTGGTGGACGGGAAGAAAATAGAAAATGTGAATTGCCAGGTACAGTGCTGGTCAAAACTTCCCAGGCTAAGCTTCCATAGAAATACATCTGATTATGACCTGGGAAATTTTGACCTCTCTCTCCCCCTCCTCCCGTACATGGTGGCAAAGAGATTTTTGAAACAGTTCTTAAGCCTGCGCTCGACAATCTATGGCTTACTGCCAGAGGATCACGGGAGATGGATCTTAGCTCTAACCACTTGATGAGTTATTCGATGAGAAAAGGCATGGCTTAGGAATAGGGTATCCTATAATCACTTGTAGCTTCTTCGATCGTTCTTGCCCGAACAGTACACAGAGGATATGTGCAGCCAAAGTTGACCACAAATGTACATTGTGTTTTGTACATTGTTCCATTTTAGCACTGCTTGCCATTGCTCTCGAGGCTTCATCGAACTTCATCCTGAGGACACTGTGTGTTTGTTCTTCCAGCATCAAGAAAAATGGGGACATCTCTCATTCGAAAGATGCACTTGATCAAGCTGTGTATTCATGCTGCTGAAAGCTGCTTCGGCATGACAGCCCGATCACAGGATGATCTGTGTGAAATATTGCAAATGATCTCCAAAGTCGTATACTGGTTTGATCATCTGTATTTAAAGGACTGCAATGGGTATAAGTAGATTAGGGATTCAAAATCAAGCAAGTTGGTGTGCATATTAGCTCTGTGTGCAAAAGGTGGGCAACCAGTAGAATGGCAGTAGTACTGTGGTCTGTGTGTCATTTTTCTGTCTGTTTTCTGTGATGTATTAGATTACAAGTGTTTCGCATCAACCTGCCATAGGTTCATAACAGCATCACATAAGAAGGAGTGCACAATGCCCAGTGCTATCTTGCAGCTAATGATTGTTTTAGGATAATGAACAATTTGTGAGGGACAACATTGATGTGATCTGAACTTTTAGGCATACAGAAACAAAAGGCATAAATAAGACTCTGCATGGCTTCTCAAATATTTTAACAATCTCCATAAGCTTGAAATTTTTTTTAGTGCCCTTTTAGATGCGAAGCAGCTTGGGGTTGAGCTCAATCCAGTGTGCGTTGTGACCACTCTTACTGTTCTCACAGGCTTCCCCTCTCTTGCTTCGCAACGCAGATGCTGGCAGCATCTGCTAGCGAGTTTCTTGATTGTAAAAGCTGACTGCTTGCGCAACACAACAATTCTCTGGCCAACCTGTATATATAGGCACTGGATCTTGAGCTCTAAGGTAGTGCCGGTAGGATATTTCTCCAGTGCGTTGTTGAAAAATGAAAATTCGCAGCTTGCACATGTACTAAAAGCGGGCTGCGGGTCCCTGTGTATAATCGCAATCCTCTGTCTCTCATTGCTTACTAGCAGCGATTGGCATTTTTCAGTGGGAAATAATGGTTCATCACATCATGCTTTGTGCCTCCCCAGGTTTCTCCCTTGCACAACGCTGTGATGAGTGCCAGTGTCTACGCCAACACCAGGGTAAAGCGTTAGCCTGCTGCTTCATATCTACACATGGTTTGCTTTAGCTAGAGTTGGTGTAATTTTTTTATTAGTTTTTGCGGGAAAGCAGAATCGGTGGGCAGCATCTTTTCAGCTATGTGCCTTGACTGAATGCTCAGAAACTCAGTGGTATTCGGTTTAGTTTCTGTGAGTATATCATGATTTGTTAGGTGGGCACAATTGCTCTATTGGCTAGTCTTTGTGGCCTTAGGATGATTGTGCCTAAATGTACGCTTGAACATGCTGTGGTTTGCATGATGCTATACTCTGAAAAGAATTGATCCTAGCTTGTTTTTGATTATGGACGCTGATCAGCTGTGCGGGAGCAGTATTGGGCCATTTTATAAATTTTACCTCATGTTGGGTTGCCCACTGTCATGGCAAAAAAAAAAAATTGTCCTTTTTTGAACAAAATAACGAGAATTTAAAGGCTAATTTTTGAGCTTTTAAATTTTGAGCCTTTATTGTTAGACACAAACAGAATCAAAATTAACTGACATTAAAGCAAAGGAAAGTATGAAGGTCACTTTTTATAGCCTGTTAACTATATTATACTAATTATGATATAAATATGACGGAATTGAAGTACACTAAAAGGCAAGCTGTTGCCATCAGAGACAAAACCTGTAACCTTCAAATACCTCTAACTTCAAATAATAATATAGCTTGGGAGGCATTTTAAATAATTATAAGTTCAAATTTTGAAGGTATTGAAACCATCAAACGGGACCCCAAGGGGACCCCCTTCCTTCCAGCACGTCAGCACGCTGCAGTGAATAAAGCAATTTATGATAACGTCATAGCCGCTATATTTTTTTGCTACTTTCGTTCCCACAGCCTATACTTCTCGGCAGCTGGTCGCGAGTGCGTGGCCACAGTGCACTCGTTGAAAGTTGTGGGTTTGGCGACACTGCTGTCGCGTTTCCTGTTTCATAGGACTTCTTGATGTGGACAGTGTGGAAGTGCGTCACAGTTCCGTGTGCTGACGTGGTCGAGAGGTGGTGATGGGTGGTGATAGTTGCACCCGGCAGCTTATCGTTTATAGAGCTCTCTTAAACTGCAAATGAAACAGGTCAGTAATGATGAGCCTATATTTAGTTATTTGTCATGCGCTACAGCAAACGATGAGTCGTATTATGACTAACAGGCCCCCAGCAACATATTGCAGCAAAAACTCTGAGGCCCTAGTTTTTGTGTCAGCACCCCTTTAACCTCCTATTGGATGTATTATAAAAAAGTCAATTGAAACGATTTTTTTCCGTAAGATCAAGGAAGAACATATGCAAAAATTTTTAGATTGATTGTGACTATTGAAAAAATTCAGGTTTGTTCCAGATATGGCACACCACGCAGATGAGCGGGTGATATTGCTGCTGTAGTTGAAAAAACGACATCTCAGTTTATGGCTCCTTTGGTGTATTGTGTGAAATAAAGTAAAGCAATTGTTTCCTGTTTCAGGCATAATTGAACATTTTCACTTGTGCATCTTACTGCCAATATCTGTGTACAAGATGGCTGCTTAAACATTTGTCTATTTGCATGTTGTCATCTTGCTGTACATTTCTGCCCGAATTACCGACCACCTATTGTTGGCCTTTGGGTGCGTCATTTGTCGTGGAAATCGAAAGGGCTAAATATCAAATGAGATCAAGACCAATGCAATAGAACTGCATAATTGGGATTTTCATTGGCCAAAGTATGCGAACTGGTGTGCAGGAACAATGCTTGTGGCATTGGCAAGACTCAAAGCAGCTACGTATAGGTGCACAGAAAGGTAAAGGCCTCGCCAAAAGGATCAACTCTGTATGCATTCCAATATTTTACAGGAGTAGGGGCATAAGTTGTTCAATAATGGGGTGCATTTAAATCTATGAGTAGAAGCTTTAGGCACTAGAGGCTGGTGCTGCACCAGTAGAGGATGCCATCATGGAGTACAAACAAGTACTGTGATGGGTATGAGGGGCGAGAGCGTAAACATGGATAATGAACTGCTTGTTGCACGTGTCGGTAAAATCAGATATAGCAAATACAGAGGCATTACAATCCTACTCTGACAAGTGGAGGGGACGAGCGGAGGGATCGATGATAAGATAAGCAATCAGCATCCTAGTGTTCATCTATACTCGTAATTAGTAGCCACAAACCTGCAGGGCTGGGCAGAGGTACAAAGACAAATATTGCGGAATGCAGAAATCGCTATACATGTGTTAGAAGTGGTACTTAGATGCATTTTTCTTTGATGTAACGAGATATTTTGAATATACATTTTCAAAAAGAAAGAAAGAAGTACCCGGAAAACAGTTGCAGGAATACAGATAATGGCATACTTCTTTGTTTGGGGGATGCTAAAGTTTCTCAGGGACAAAAAGGACTGCCTAATGTCGTGAATGATGTTGCAGCACATTGAAACTTGCAAGTCAAGTTGTTAATGAACGTTATGTATTTAAAAGAAGGTATATATTTATTTTAAACATGAGATCCATCTTGCCTAGAAGGTTGTTCTATTCACTGCACTAAAGCAAGGGTGGCTTCTCTAATTGATTGTTTTAGCGAGCGCCTGTTCAACTTCAACACAAAACTGTGTGAAATCGCTTGCCGGCCGAAAGAATTATGGGGTCTGTCCAGGTTTGAGAGGCAGCCACTTTTATTGGCAGAGGCCGACAATACTGCCTGGTAAAGTGGTATAGGGACTCATGCGACTCACCGGTAAAGTGAGTCGCATAAGGCACTTTACCACGTGGTTTATCTGTGCATATTAGAAACCATCCACAGTCCTCCCTGTTTCACTGAACAGTGGTGCGCTTTTGCTTGGCTTAGCATTAAAATGACCTCCTTTCTTCTGCTATGTATGTCAGCTACTTCGAACAGCAATAACCATAAAAAAGTAGCAAGGTATTCGTGTGCGGCACAGTATTGCAATACGATTGATCTGTCAGATAAGTATTTATGTACTGGAATACACTTACGTTTTCACATGTATCTTTATACAGAAGTACAGATACTCGGTAGTATCTCTGAGATAATATCTGGATACTCTTGTAATGGGGTACTGCCCAGCCCTGCAAAGCTGCTTTATTTGAGCTTCCTGGCCCAGCAACCTGGCTGTCCAATCAGATCATTGTGGGGAAGACAACTGCCGAAAATCAGATCTTTTGGGTGTGACAACCGGCACAATGCACGATCATCCGTGACCACTGATAATGTGCAGCCAAACAAGTCTGGCCAACATTTTTAGATTGCTGAAACTTGGGCAGAGCACTTGCACTCAGCCATCCAAAGTAGGCAGAGCTGTGTAGACAGGTAGGAGTTTCGTTAGATCGTGGCATAGAGGAGACGTCATCGTGTGTTACATTATTTAAGTAACTGCAGTCTATGTAGAGAAGCCAGCTTTACCCTCTCTCACCCTTTTCGTCCTGCTCACCCTCACTCTACTCTTCCTTCAGGCTTACTGTCACTAGTGCAAAGCTGCCTTAATTTTTTTCTTTTTCATGCAGGATCACATCAGCATGGGACATGCAACAAGGGCGTTTACAGATTGGGCCGGTATCTCCAGTGTTGATCTTACGAGTCGCAACGGATGTTTGACGTAAAGTGTGGTCACCAGTGTTAATTACGTCACAGGACAGCTAATTCAATTATTATGAAAATGTAATTATTTGCATTTTTTATGCTACATTATCATTATGTGACATGCAAGCAAAAGTAATCAGTTAGCTTGTGTCTTTCGATGCAGCCCTTCACATTCTCTTTATTTTCATTGGCATTTGTTTCTTGTTGCTGTTATGTTTTTTTTTGTTTCTTATATGAAAACATTATTGGTAACTCTATTATGGACCCTTTACCTTGTTGTGCCCATAGAAAAGGAAGGTAGCGTTGTTGAAATATGCTTTGCATAAGGTTTCATGTACCCAGTCACTGAATTTTCTCATTTCCTGCCTCTTTCAAATGAAGCGCTACATTATCGCTTCGGCAGAAGGAATACACTTTTAGTAAGTGCAACAGAAATTGGAAAGAAGTCTTATTATTAGTCTCTGTCCTGCTGTTGGCCTTCCTACGTAGCTGTCCTTATCAAGCCATGGCTGCATCGACTCAAACAGTTGGCCGTCATGATGCATTGAGATAAGCAAACAAAGACTGGGCACCCTGATTCACTTCATTGAACATTTGAATCTTTTATATTGTTGCATGGCACAAGTCCGTGTGCTTTACGGTGAAGTTTTTGCCAGTTATTTATGCTCAAATTCGTATCAGTGGCTTGAGTTGTTCGACTCTTTGAAGGACCCATGACAGCGAAACTTTTTAGTGACTTTATTTTTACTGTAATTGTGCTTCGTGCCTGGTAATTCTAAAATTGAGTCATAACTGTTCCATCCAACATACTGTATAATTAATGCTAGCATTGTTAATTGTTAACAATATTTGTGTCGCTTCAAAACAAATAAAATTGTAAGAGACCAGCTTCCTACAGCGGGGGAGCACGTGGGACCACATTCGCTAGTGCTTCGGTGACATGAACGTCTAGTTATTCAATGGGGAGGACCTGTGCGTACTGAAGAATAAAATCGCACACGTGCTTTAAACCTGTCCCCCTCTGGAAAAAGAAAATCATTCCTGGTGTTAGCAGTCAAAACCATCTTGGAACAAACAGCCCTACAACAAAGCGAGAGGGGCTAGGAAAAATGGTCTTCATTGAGTGGCAGTTTTAGTTATGCATGTGTCCCGTGAATGTTCTGCGATGTTCATTATGCTTGCTTTGATTTTTGAGTAATGCCATCGGGGCCTCTTTGTACTCTCAACAGCAAAAATTTGCAGGACTCAAAACGCTCAATAAAGCAAAATACCCACTTTGTCTGGGAATGTAATTTTGAAATAAATGTTCCATACTGCACTTGGCATTCTAACCTATACACTCACCAGCTTGATTACAAGCATTAAGCTCTGGTATAGCAGAAATTTGGATTTCATGTGGATCCAACGCCCCGTAAACTTTTGCTGTCAATAGTATATCATATTAGTGGCCATGCAGCAAGGTGCTGAAAACTCTGGTGAGCTTTCATACAAACCTTAAAATCAAATATAAAATATCTTGACGACAACATTCTTTAGTCATAATCGGTCAAGTGTGCCCACACATGCAGAACTATCAAACAACGCTAGCATTATTAGTTTCCGAGTTTTCTGCTGGAGGTCCTTTAATAAGTGTAAGCAGCCGTATGAAATTAGTTAAAAGAGCCAAATTATGTAACCACATATAAACTGACAAACATAATTGGGTACAAGTAATTTGGTTCAATTCTAGTTGACACGAAGGGTCAAACTTTATATGGGTATAATGTGTGTCTTCATGCTGCTTATAACACTGACTCATTCCTATTTCAGATGTGCTTGTTGCCCCCTTATGGTGCATCCAAGAAGATTCGTGCCTCGGAAATTGCTGCAAATGCTCGACATTGGTTCCTTTATGAAAATTTCTTTACCGTTGTACAGCAATTTTATTTGTTATAAAATGTGATTGTGATGTTACTACAACTGCTGACTACTGCCTTATAGTTGCTTTGGAAGGAGTGAAAGTTGGATGATCACTTTTGCACTTTTAGTTCTTTTATATTGGGGAGAAAAGAATGAATTTTATTACACTGTTCAAGTTTCAGTCATTATTAAAGGGGTCCTGAAACACTTTTTGAGCAAACATGGAATTAATTCACTTGAAAAGCGTATTATCTCACAAATTCAACGCCGCAAACATTTTAAGAAACCGTCCAGTACGAGCGGATTGACAAAAATTTGTCACACGCTGAAATCACATTTTCTCTTCTCTCATCCCGACGAGAGCACTGGAAGCTAAGCAGGGAGGGATGGGAGGGGCAAACAAAAAACGTTGCGCCTCGTGACCTTTAGCATTTTCTTCTTTTTTTTTTTCTTCGAATACGCAGCTTTTTAGTGCGATCGTGCGCTGCCCTTTGCGGTGACCTCTGTAACAACCTTGCGCACCATGTTAAAATCAGCTAGTGGCTGATAGATGGGCTTACTATGTGGGATTTTCGGGCATATTGCATGATTTGTTGAGAGAACAGAAAGCAGTTTTTAGATGACTGACAATTTATTGTGAATTCCAGGCCTCGTGCTGCGCTGTAATATTTGGCTCGCGTGTTGTTGGGAATCTCTACTACCGATCGGCATCAATTTTTGACCATGCTCAAAAAGTGTTGCAGGGCCCCTTTAAGTAATTGTGCCTGCCTTGACAAAGCACTGTTTCAGACTGGGTAAGTAGTGCATACCCTGGTTTTACAAGTTTGTTTAGCAGTGTGAATGTTCAAGCTAGTTTAGCTGAAAGAAAACAATTTGCACGCAAGTTACCGCAACACTTCAAAGTGGCACTTCAGTTTTGCGCTGCAAGTAAAGAGTACCGATGCACAATTTCATGGCCAAAGTAGCCTGTGGGATCGATTCCTGTGAACATGCATGCATTATCTACCAAATCTAAACTGGGAATATAGCTGGGAAGGTAGTACATACGAATTTTGAAGTTCACTTGTGCACTCTAGTGCTATACACTTGCAACCATGACAGCTACCGGGCTGACATGAAAGTGACCCCTAACTTCGGCAATATCAGCACTGCAGTCAAGCTATGAGCAGTCATCCAAAACTGAGCTCTCAACCAAAATTTAGACTATTCAGTAATAAACAGACTGTAATTGATTATCTGTTGTGTGCTTGAGCATCGATGTGCCATGTCTGACTTATAGGGCTCTAGAAACACACTGTAGCGAAAGAGCAACAAACCCAAGTTCTTGTGCCATTAGCCTTTTAACAATAATTTGATAATTCCCAAATGATTTTACCATGAAAATTTTGTGTTATTTCGCTATTACCCCTGTCCTCCTTTGTCTTTCTGTTCTTTCGTTGTGCTTTCAAGCCAAAAGTATATCGAAAGTAATGTTGGTCCAATTAATGTTATTTTTACTGCAGTGCTTACCAAATTATTTAAATCCTCTCAATTGTAACATTGTTGCTTTTCACTATAAAATAGAGTACGGATTTAACTTGGATCAGTTATTTTTGTTGTACCATTTTAGAATTCCAGGTTCATTTTGTTCATGTCCTAAAGATTTTTGTATCAGTTGGGGCATTTGGTATGCTGATGATGGGAATACTCTGATGCTTAGTTTGTGTGCAGTGCTTTAAGTTGATGTGTGCATTGTGTAGTGTAAGATACCAAAAGTTTTGATCATTTAGGCGTGCCAAGATGGCTTTCCGAGTGTGGTTTCAATGTTGAGCAAACTTTTTTTTTTTAATATAATCATTTACATACTGGGATCAAGGGTAATACCTAATGTGTAGTTGTTTGAGTGAATGAGGTATTTTTCATATTCTGTTGTATCTTTATTCCCACATTGAAGCAAATAACAGAACATTAATGGGAAGGGTGTAAACTTGAGGAATGTGTGTATGAAACAGTAATTGCTTGTGCTATGCATAAAAGTGTGCTGGCATTTTTCGTAGCCACGAACAGTTATTCTATTTGAACCCTTTTAAATGTTCTTTTTATTGTTATAATAATATAAAAGTGTTTTATGCCGAGGTCCACCACGGCTTTGCTGACGGATTTTCGTCATGGATATGTCATTTTAAAACATATATACCAACAGATTGCAAAGAGAAAAAATGATATGCGCAGGCTCTGTCACGAGGCGTCGAACCGGTGACCTCTGGAACCGCAGCGCGCAGTGCCAACCACTACGCCACAATGAGCATGCAGTCAAGAATGCTAACGGCAAGCCATTTATATATACCATATACCATTTGACGGACCTCGGAGCGCCACAGCTCGGCGCATTTTCGTCATGATTAGCGAGATGGCTTGACGAGCATGCGTGGGGCCCGCTCTAGAGGTCGTCGTTTCACATGTTAAAGAGCACCGCCTCCTTGGAGCCTGGTCTTTCTTGCACGTACGCCTATTAGACTTGCGATTCGGGAAAGCACGAAAGTCACTTTGCTCGCTGCTGCAGCCGCACTTCCGAAAAGAACATGCTGCTCACTCGAAGAAGTAAGAATTGTGATGGTTTGCGCCCATCTTGTGCACACTTGTGCGTTCGTTTTGTGCACCTTTCTTTCTGTTTATACGGCGCGCTTTAAGTGACGAGGTGTGGCAGTTGTTAGTCCACGCTCGTAGTGTGTGTTCATTTTGTGCGTGCCTTCTGCTTGAGGTGCACGCTGGAAGGTTTGAGCTGCTGCTGCTTGCCGTTCTTCACGTGACTTTGCAATTTGTTGCTGTAGCATTAATTCTTTCGGCCTTGTGGCAAAACAATGCACAATAAACGCTCAACTACCTCTGTGAAGACACGTTTCACTTTTGTGTTTTACCGATTCCTAGAAAGAAGGATGAGTCACATTTTTCCTTTGGTCTGTTTAACTTTAGCTTCTTTCAGTCACATTCCATTTCATGTGCCTCATGTGTTAAAGATCAAGCAATGCTCTTGCTGCTTATCGTAGTATAGACACGTCTACCCATGAAAGCATTGCAAAAATTCGTTCTAAATGTACCTATGTGAAACCATTTGGCTGTTTGGTTGTATTATCCAAATTACATCCAAATTTGACCTTTACACATCAACAGGTCCGAATGGAGCTAGCTGCAGAGAATTCATTATGGCTAGTAGCGCGACAAGCAAACACAGAGAAGAACCACGTAGGGCAGGTAACCAAATCAACTGTTTTTTATTCACGAGAATCGCTTCCTTAAAAATTAACAAAACAAAGCAAGCTCAACAGTCACGCACTCTGTAGCACAGCTAAAGCAACAGCACAATCAGCTAGCTGATTAGTGTAAACATAATAAAATAATTGTGCTGGGTAGTGTGAGCAGTAATTATCATCGTGAACCACTACATGCTCGCTTCATCCTCCTTGAATTTCTGCTTCACTACCACAACACGTGCGCCAATTTGCTTGGTGAGAAATACAATAACTAGGGTGAGCGAGTTTGTTACGTCACTAAAATATTCACCAGGCCAGTGTGGAACATGCAGCACAGTCACAATGAAAGCTACAAAAGCAGCTTTTCTAGAGCCTTTTTCTAGGCATTTTTGGGGCAACTACTGTGAGCACACTTGCATGGTACCCACTACACTGTAAATCATCGTAATTTTCTAAAAGTGTCCACTGTTTCATTAGTATTCATCATTCCTCGGAGAACCGCGGCGCCGGCTACACACCTGTGAGGCGTTATGTGCACTGTTTACGGAGTGGCTCACGACAATGAAGAATTGCATCTGAGCCTTTTGTAATGGGTTGGAAGCATTGAATGACCCACTCATTACAAAATTTCATTGTGTGATGCCAGATTGTCACTTTTGCTCTTTTGAAATCCTCTATTACTCATGGTAAAGTCATTCCGTAGCTGACACCTGGCCTTCATAGGGTCAGTGTGCAACGGAGTTTTAAGCACAGGAGTGACTGTACGGTATAATGTTGGGATGCCACACAAATGTCCCAGGTTCGAATTTCGCTCTATCCTGGGTATTATAAATTATATAGATTTTTTTTACGCAATGGCCGTTACGGGCTTCGGCAGCGACGAACAACTATGGCGCCAAAATCAACCCTTCTTTTGATACCATGCAGCTTGTGCTGTAAAATATGTAACATCAAGTAACAACTTTTTATTGAACTAAAATGACAGAACATCATGTTACAAATATTCATTAGACTAAAGATCACGTAGCAACAAGTCACGAGACTAAAATCATGTTGTATCACACACCTAGTTATGAGACTAAAAATTACACATCTCATAACAACCAGTCATATGACAAAATCGTGTAACAGCACTCATGTCTCAAAATCATGCAGTTAGCTTGGTGACAAATGATGTACTGTCACATAACGACTCGCGTTGCTCAAAATAACGCAACATTTACTGGCAGAACTAAAAATTATGCAAAAATTATTCACATGGCTAGAAATTGTGTAAAGTTTAGTCATTTGACTAAGATCACATCAGATTTTGTACTTACTAATTATGTGAGTAAATTGCATAACATCTTGGTACAGCATCACGTTACTAATGTCACACATTATCACGTAACAGCTTGGCATGTTCCCACCACAGACCACATAACTACTCAAGGAACTAAAACCGCCTAACGCCACATAATATCTGACCACATGACTAACCCCTGCCAAGATTATATGGCCACTAGGGACATGACATGCTCCTGTAAAAGCCACATAACAGCTGGTCACATGACTACTAAAATTATGTACCCTTGATCCACAGCTTGACAAGCGACACCTTCCCGTCGAAACCACTTAGTAACACCTTGTAATAAAACATGTTTCTGCCATGAGCTATGTAACCACTAGTCACGTGACTGAAACTACGTAACATGGCATCTGCTAGTCACATTTTTAAAATCGCATATAACCGCATGAGAACGAGTCACGTAGCATGTTCCACCATGCAGCATGTGCATAGTGTAAGGAACCAACTGAAAAAGAAAAATCTAGCCATACTTAGCACTAATACAAGAAACTTGGCATCTTTCACGAAACCTTGATGTTACTAGCAAAATCTATCAAGGGCGAACGCTAGCCCCACCGTTGATTCCAGCCTTGTGCCACTAGGGCAAACTGCAAACTTTTTCCAATCACTCATGGCATGCCATGTGCATGTTTAATGTTGAATTTTAATGACAAAAGTGTTTTTCGTTGGGCTATTTGGTCACACATTGTAAATGGCAGGGTTGAAGCAGCTGACAGACTCTGCAAGTGGAACACAACATGTGCTGCTGAAGCAACAAAGTAGAAAGTCTACCTTTCTAGTGACAAGTGGCCCAGAGTACCTTGCATACAGTTTGTTTTAATTTGCTGTCAAATTTCCACTCTTACGTGGCAGTTCCAGCATCACTGTCTCTATCTGATGAATTCTTTGGGCAGGAAGTGAATCTTTCTGGCTCTGAGGCATTGCTGTCGAGCAGTGGAATCAACGCCACACAGTCTGCCTACGCGTTCTTGTCGTCTGCTATTACCACCAAAACAAGCGACTACTAGTGGCACCCCCAAGCAGTCAAACATAGGAAATACATAACGCCAAGTTCCGGTCCACTGTGCCGATTTTGGTGGAGCAACTTTTTTTGCGCTATAGAGTGACTCCCTGATACAATCTGACTCATTAGAATGCCTCTCTGTAGGTGGTCTACACATGATCTAAAACGACCAGAAAAACTTGCTCTGACTCTGCCTTTGGAGTTCAACATAACGCTTTGCTAAATTCTCTATATTTTATTCTCTAAAAGTGTTATGGAAGACTTGCTTACACAGGCATTCCCATGCTTCTTAATATGGCACGCCTTCATCACGTCACGTGATTTTCATTTTTATGGTAAAAAACCACTATAGCTTCACCAAAAGCCAATGCGCAGATCACGTAATGTATTGAATTCTACTGCTATGCATGTTATAATGCTTGTACCATGTGGTTCTTTTCTCATTCTGTTTGTCACAGTATTAGCATTACATATTGAAACCTAGTGCTCATATGTGCTAAGCATAAGAGAGTTGGGAACACATGTGCCCGGTTATCAACTCTATAATGTGCAGTTTGGGTGTGCTACAGTAATGTAGCTACGTAGCTCTTTTACATGACAATATCATCCTTATATGTGTAACAAGCCTTCTTGACTGCCTTGTGCTGCAGGTGCTAGGCAATGGAGATGGCTTGCTACACCTATCAATGAAGGGTACCGTGTAGGGCCACAAATGGTTTGATTTGCCTTTGTGTTCTTTCTGTGGGTCTGCAGGTTCCCTGTCACAAGCCTATCAGGAGCAGTATCGTTTGCTCGTGACCATGCATGGCGGTCGGCATTATTGCCTGCAGTGCACCTATGTGACCAAGCAAAGTACAAACATGAAAAATCACCTTCGCAAACACATGGGGGAGCGTCCCGCCCAATGTCACTTGTGTCCTGCTGCATTCACTCAATACAGCAACCTCAAGCGACACATACGCACCCACACAGGAGAGCGTCCCTTTTCCTGCGTACACTGCAGGGCATCGTTTACTTCAAAGACTAGCCTCAACTACCACTTGTCCCATCGTCATGCAAGGAAAAAGCCCTAAAGGTCAATAGTATACACTTTTCTTGTAGGGTCAAAGGGAGAGTTAATTGATAAAATAAATCACTGTAGGAAAAGGGTCACTTCACTTAAGGGCATGAAATTGTGTCAAATGCCTCGGAAATGTAGTTTGTTATTGCATATTGCTTACTGAGGAATCTGTCAAATTAATGAAAATTTCTTACCTGTTGGGTGACATATCCATTCCATGATTATGAAGGCTTTACTTGCATTGGATGTAGATTGGCTAAAAATGTGTTGGTTTGAAACTTTCTTGAGTTTAGTTGCATGAATATTAGAGGCTAGATTTATAGGCATTAAAGAAAGTATGGACCATCTCCCCGAAGGGAACCCTGATGGGATGCGAAGCAGCAGCGGTGGCACGGCGTTGACCCAGTTGAAACGGGCGTCGACGCAGGTGCTGGAAGAATGGTTTGAAACGCAAAGAGACAGGAGGACGAACGCATTGAAGACTCTTGCACTTGGGTTTCTTGGCTCTCAACTCATCGGTGCTACTTGCGCGCTGTCTCTATTCTCAAACGCGATTGGCGTTTTTGACTCGCACCTTGTAGGTGTCGTTGGTCTTCCACTGCCGACACTTGTGTTCGGCTTTCCTGGCTAGCTCCTCATCGGTGTTTCAGGCGCGACGTCGCCACTCGCGAACGGGATCGGCTCCGCTCACCTGCAACGCTGGCGATGACCGGGAAAAGTACGCGCACACTAGCGGGAAGCATGTCTCGGCCGCGTCCTTCTTGTTGTCGTGATCGTGCGGCAAGCAACGGTGCGCTGTCCGCATTGCCGAAACTGCGAGACTAGGGCCGGACCAGATGACAGCGCGTGCAGCGCGCCTACCCACGTTTTTTTTCTCGCCAACAGATGGATAGAGGTGGTGCGGGTGAGAAGATAATGCCGACGTGAGGAGTGGGCTTGAGCGTTGTGAGCGGTAGAGAGGATGAAGCGAGAGAGATGACACGCGGAGCGTGGTGACAGGCTAGGGAGAGAGTGAAGTCACGCGTGCGCACTGCGAGAGAAGGCATAGCCTACTTTGCACCGCCCCTGTGCGGAGGGACAGCGTTACACAGGCTAGTCAAAGAGCTGCTTCGAATTTAAAACCAGGTATCATCATCAT